GTTTCATCTATTGCAAGTTTAGAACTTAGCTATGATTTTCTTAAAACGAATATCGAGTATGAAATGTTTATGTGCCAAACAAATCCCAATCTCAAATAATAATTATTGTTGTAGTTATGGTAGAAAATATCTTGTCATTTATTTAAACTTTTGGCAAATCCTAAGCAAAAAATTGACTTAATTAATTTGATTTGATTCTAACATTTGCAGAATCGAGTAAATTGATTTGGTCAACTTTTAGAGAAAAACCAAACCATGAACATATCCAAAAACAGTTGAAATATGTGTTCTTTCTTATATTTTTGAGAGAAGTACAGAGAACACTCGAAACTTGACACAAATTATCTGTTTCGCTCTTAAATTATTGATAGTCTCAAACTCTTGCAGGAGCATGGAGAAAAGTGTTGAGAACAACCTAAACTTGGTGAGAATTTAGGGTGTATTAAGTTCAGCTAGTCAAGTATATGAGCGTTTTTTAAACTGTCAACAATTTAAGGATGAAACGTATAATTTGCACCAAAATTAAGGATATTTTCGATACCTCTCTATTTTTTTGTGTGGAAAGGATAGTTATGCATTCGTATTATAATTCCGATATAACTTATTCATCTACCAGATAATCTCTAGATATCTCAAAGGGTGTGTAAATATTAAAAGGCAAATAATATATACAAAAATGTAATAAATTAGAAAAAAGAAGAAATTATAAGGACGTAAATTGCAAAGAACTTTCATAATATTTTTTCACTATAAATCAAGCACCCATATTATATTATTTTGATGCTTAATGCCATTTTGGTCCCTTAACAAAGCTGATTATACATTCAATTTAAAATGCACATACACCATAATAAAACAAACTCCACTATACATATAAATCCGATGGCCGGGCAACACCATCGTCCGTCCTCGTAGGTGGTGCACTAGGCGGTAATGAGGTGGGAGCCGTTGGCGGAGGTGGAGGTCGAGGTGGTGGACATATCGTTGAAATAGGCATGCCAGGACTTGTTTTACAAGACGGAGCGGATGGAGGTAAAGGGACAAACTTTGGTAGCATGTTATCAAAATTATCGATGTGAGATTTAAATTCGAATAATTTTCTATGAATAGTAATTGCATGACTCGAAGAATAGCAAAGAGTTGTCAAAAACCAAAAAAGAAGACACTTAAAAAGTCTACTTTCTTTGTTCATCATATCATAGAGCTAATAATATTTTAGAAGTTAAAAATGTGTAGAAATATTATTGGTTTATAATTTTGTATAGGAACTATGCTATTTATATAAATCCAAAATGTATGTGAACATTATTTAGTGACAGACCTCCTTTTTTGTTGGAGGATTAATCAAGAATAATCCTAATTTTGATTTAATCACTAAGGAGTTGGGGAGTTATAATTTTGACTTAATCACTAAGAAGTTGGGGAGTTAATTTATGAGTCATTTAACAGTTGAGTGATTAATTGATCTCTCTAAGAAAGATAAAAAAATTAAGATAATACATATAAGGTAATGACATTCATCGAAAGTTATATTATATGAAAAAGTTAAATTTTGAAGAGTTATTATCATATATGTTATTATTTTAATAATGACTATAATAATAATTACAATAACGTTATAAAATTCTTTCAATACTCTACATTGTTTGGGAAAAATATTTGATTTAAGATTTTTTTTTTACACCTTGACACTATATGTATTCTAAAAATTTCATATTTTGTCATTGTATGATGATTTTATGTAATTGAGATAAAGTAACACGTGACTTATTCTGAATATACATTTTATTTTATGTGTTTCAATTATTTTATTTTCTATTGCAAAATATAATCTCTAATATATTATTTTATCATCACATTGAAGAGGATAAACAAGACAAGATCCTTAAATTTTTGAAGAAGTGGAGCAAGAAAGGAAAAAATAAATGAAATTCTTTTCTTCTTCTGTATACATTTCTTTCAAATAAAATTGATCGTATCTGTATATGTGATCTCATTGATGTCTTTTTCTTACAAACTCACTTTCTCAAGAATTCAAGGAACTATTACAAAAAATAGTAGGAAACATAGTTGAGGAAGAATGGCTTTAAGGCGTGTAATCCCTTTCTTTAATATATATATATATATATATATATATATATATATTTATTTATTTATTTATTTATTTATTTATACACTGCTTATTGAAAAATAATAACGAGCGACATCAATTATTTAATTTTATAAATATTTGATTAATTATTATTTAAATTATATTTTTATTATGTATCTATAGAGAAACTTTGTACGTTAAGACATAGATAACCTTAATTATTCAATGTTCAAATTCTAAAAAAATGTCTAAATCACTAAGAGAAATATTCAGATTTCAATAAAAACAAAATGAGACTCAACCAAATTTATGTATACAACCTTCAACACATATAAAAAGATTTAGGAATTTTGAAAAAAATTCTTTCTTATTTTTTTTCCTAACTTGTATTTACACAAATCATAGACCCCCAATCAAGAACTATTGTCTATTCACCATAAACAATGAAAAACCATTATCTTTTTTTTTTAAAAAAAAGTTAAAAAATAAAATAAGAAGTTAATCAATAAATTCCCAATCTATTTCATTTCAATAATTTCAAATCTATATATATATATAAATCTGGATATGAAAGTGCTGATGTGGCACCCCTCATAGGCCAGCATTAGAATTTATATATTTTATCTTTTTTTAAAGCTTTTTTTCTCT